CTTTCAGATGTGATAGGCTCCTTTCTGTATTTTCTCCAGTAATATAATAATAATGGACATGGTTCTGTTAGCATCTGCCTAGAAATATATATTTGGACCTTGAGATCTAGATTAAGTAGGGTTGTCTCCCTTTATCTGTTTAGAGAAAGAGACATGAAGGTGGAAAGGAACCTGGCCACATTTAGGAGGTTTCAATTAACACGTTTCTTGATTTTGACTTTCAGTGTTGCCCACATTTTTTTCTTCAGACTAAGTACTGCAATGTATTAAATGAAAGAACAGCAGAAGAATCACAAAGGAGATGTTAGATAGTATGGGTAAGACTATCCAACATGACAAAACAAATTCTATAGATGAAAAACTTCTAATGAAATTATGTGTTGGTTGCTGAAACGTTGGACAAAATTAACCAATGTGAATCAGTTATGACTACCCAATTAAAGGTATGTGGCCTTTTACTCTCTTTTGAAATATATAAAATGCATGCAATATAGTACTTAGCAATGCTTAGAATTACAAGGGTGCAAGGCTGCTGGAGGTGTGAGTTAGATGGAGGAATGGAAATTTGGCAGGCTGGATTTCTAATGCAGATATTGTAGTTCCATTAGGAAACAGGAAAGCCATATTCCATTTGAGAAATGAAATTATCATTGTTGGAACTATAAACTCTTGCAAAAGCTATCCAGGTTAAAAGTTGATGCAGCTGAACAATTATCATATGGAGAACAAAGGAAATGTGCTCCTTTTGAAGTGTTAGGATCCAAGATATAAAAACCATTTAATTTTGCCATGAACTTGTTTCTTTTTTACAGGTGCAGTTATATGAAAATAAAGAACAGCTAAATCATACACATGTAACTGAATTTATTCTTCTGGGATTTGGAGATCACCACCAGGCACTGCTGATTCCTCTTTTCCTTTTGTTCCTTTTCATCTACATTGTGACAATGGCTGGGAACATCCTCATCATTTTACTAGTTGCCACTGACCGACACCTTCACACCCCAATGTACTTCTTCCTTGGGAACCTCTCATGCTTGGAGACCTTCTGCAGCTCAAACATCTTGCCAAGAATGTTATCCAGTTTCCTTACGGGAAGGAAAGTGATTTCAGTCAATGCATGTTTTGTGCAACATTACTTCTTTGGGTTTTTTGGAGGTGTGGAATGCTACTTATTATCAGCAATGTCCTATGACCGGTACTTAGCTATATGTAAACCTCTCCATTATGTCACCATGATGAATGGCAAATTGTGTTTCCAACTCATAGTCAGCTCTTGGTTTAGTGGTTTTCTGTCAATTACTATGACAACGATTATCATGTCCAAGTTAGTTTTCTGTGGTGACAATAAAATTGACCATTTCTTTTGTGACACCTTCCCCATCATAGAACTATTTTGTGGTGACACTAGCACGTTAAAGTGGTATATATATGTTTTATGCTCTGCATTCACCTTTCCCCCATCTATATTGACCTTCACATCATATACTTTCATAATTATAGCCATAATGAAAATCCCTTCTGCAACCGGAAAACAAAAAGCATTTTCTACCTGTTCCTCCCATCTCTTGGTAGTTACAATTTTCTATGGCACACTGATGGCTGTCTATGTGATTCCGAACACTGACAGACTGAATGCCCTTCACAAAGTCTTCTCTATCTGTTATACCATCCTGACTCCCATGATCAATCCCATCATATATAGTTTAAGAAATAAAGAAGTAAAGGAAGCATTGAGAAGACATATTTCATTCCTAGTAGTGCAAAATGAGAAGAAAAGACAGACTTAAGATTTGCTAAAGGTGTTGTTTTCTCAAAAGTGACTTCAAATTTTATAGCATCACTAAACATATATGCTTTAATTTTTATAGATAAATGTGCTCCTTTTTTGTGCACATTAGAAAAGCACACACACACACAAACACACTGAATGTGGAATGACAGAATCTGGACTAGTTCCATCCCAAATTTAGCAAATTTCTAGCCTCCTTCCACAGGCTGAATCTGGCTAGAGAACCACAGAAATACCTGGGTAGGCCTTGCTCTATATTTTCAGTCAGGAGAGAGGTACAAGTTTATAAGAAGCTACTTTTTCTTTCCCAGGAATCATGCATCTCTCACACACAACTAAACTTTGATGCTTTCACTTGGTTACTGCTAGATCAGAATGGTATGTGGGATTTTTCTAATCTTTTCTTCATTACCTTTTATCCTCCTATTTTACCTTTCATTGTTGTCTTTTCCTCTCCCTCTCTCCCCTTGACCCCAAATCCTCTCCTGTCCTGGGAACTCAAGGTCTCTAACTTTTGCAATATTCCTACAAGATGCAGAGCTTTATATATATATGAAGTACTTTTGTAATTGCTATGTAATCATATTGTAACAATGTTGTTGTTGATGACAATGATAACAGTAGTACAGTAGTCACTCAATCATTTAATATTGATTTAGAACATGTATCTTGTTTTGATCACAATTTGTATTTTTATTTTTGCAACAAGTTCACCTTTGGTGGGAATTAAGACTGATTTTTTGGTGGGGTGTGCATGTGTGGTTTACCTTTTGTAGTTGTGGTATATATTTATCTTGGATTTAGTGTTTTGTTGAGTATTGTGTGTTCATTTTGTGTATTAATTTAGACTATTGGTGGCATTGAACAGGGGAAAATTAGCAACTTAAAAAAAATACAGGGCTGAAATGTACATCTTGCAGACTGAGGTGTCTGAAAACAGATATGTTTTGCTTCCTTCCTGAAGAGATACAAAAATAGAGCAGATTTTTGTATCTCTTCGGGGAGATTCCACATCCACAGAGTAAATGTGGAAATGAATTATAATGATATCATAACTTCAGATGATATTGGCACATGGAACAAAGACTGGAGAATGTAAACAACAGTTGGGTGTATCTGGATAGAGGCAATCTGTCAGTTGTTTTAGTTTGGTTTGGCCTGTATCAAGCTTAAAACAAAAGAATTTACCACAGTTCACCTAGTTCTTCTGGGTGAAATTAGTTTTCTGTCTACCTTGCAATTACTGAAGCACCTGGGTAAATTCCCTCATGCCCCATATTCAGCTGAGAATCATCAGAATTATAGCAATGAAGGGATGTATTAAGAAAAAATGTTGCAGTGAAAGTGGCTAGGAGTACTTAAGTGAAGCTATAAATAAGACCACCCTTTGGCCTGACTTGACATTTCTACCTCAGATACGTAGCTCCTAAGTGAGATTGTGTTTTATAAGCAAGAGGGTTTATATTGAGATTATCTAGTTCATGTGTGGAATATGTTTTTCTAGCCTTCTCAAATCACTTCTTGACAAAATTCTTTGCATGTTCCATCTGGACCTCTGAGTTGGTCTTGAAATTTTATTTTTGGTGAAGCAGGTGGCAGCACAGAGGTATGAGGCACCTCTGAAAAAATATCCACTCATTTTAACCCTCCACCCTCTTCAAAATTCCTTGAATATTTCACAGGAAACACCAAATTCTTCTCAAACACCTTTCCCATTTGTGTCCAATTCAGAAGGCAGATAGAGAGATAGATTGGAATGTATCTTCATCTGGAGGTTTTCTTCTATTACTTACTTCCTCAGTCTAGGCATGCATCAAAAATCCTTGTTCTTCCTCTCTCTTATTCAGGCAATCCTTTTTCTAAAGGCCTTACTTTCTTATCATAGCCCTGGGATACATGTGAAGGAAACATGCCCTGGCAGACCTTGTTCTGAAATGTTCATGATGCTCTCTCTGGTATTCCTTTCACTGCTGCTTCCAAATGTGGTAGGGAAGGAAACCCACTTTAAGTGTATACTTGAACACCGCTACCCAGAGGGGTACCATAAAGATGGGGATTTCATTATTGGTGCACTTGTATCTCAGTTCCTTACATGGGAAAAGCTAGAGAGATTTGATATTCAGCCTCCTCTTGCTTACTCATTAGATCCATAGTAAGTCACTCTTCTTCCTTTAAATGTGTTAAAGCTGTTTCAAATATGTTGTGAAATGCTTCTTATAAAAAGTTCATTTATTTCAATAAAGATGAATCCCTGTAAGGTTTTTTGTGTGTGTTTTTGGTGGGTATACAGACATGGTTCTTCATATTCTTCACACATACTTGAATACATATACAAAAATATTTAAATAAGGGCTAAACTGGGAATAATTTTTTTAAATCTTCAGCAATTACATATATTTTCCCCAAACTACTCAATGATCACTCCAAACCAAGCTGGTATTTCTGTCCATTCCACACATTACGCAGAAGTAAACCTTGGTTTGCCTGTGAATGTTTACTCAACAGCTGCCAACAGTTGTGATTTCAATGGGGTGTACTTATGATTCAGTTCTATGCATTTTGTTATGATTACTGCATTTTTTATAAGTGGTTTCTTGCAATTACTCTTGAAATTAAATTTTGCAGTGTGTGTGCATGTGTGGTGGTAATGGAATACTGCATCTTCTGTGCATTTACGGAATTAATTCTCATTGCAGTCCCTTGACTCGCAATTATCAACATGTTCTTGCCTTGGTCTATGCAGTACAGGAGATAAACAAGAACCCCAATCTGCTACCCAACATGACTCTGGGATTTCACACCCATGAAAACTATTTCAATGCAAGGAAAACATATGAATGTTCATTAAGTATCCTTTCAGGAAGAGGCAGAGCAGTTCCCAACTACACCTGCAGGAAACAGAACAACTTAATAGCTGTTATTGGAGGGCTAAAGTCCATGTCATCCATTCAGATGTCAACTATCTTAGGTTTATACAAGATACCACAGGTGTGTATATTGGGAGAGACTTTCATGATAGAACATTCAGACATCCAGATCTTCTTTTGGCATATTATTTATCTCTAGCGATATTAGACAGTTTATATGTGAGCACTCTTTCACCACCAATAGGAAGGATGTTGGGATGTAAATTAATATGGAAATGTGTGATACTTTGTTTGTGACTCTCAGTGAAAAGGTTACTTGTCTTCTTTCCCCCTCATTTTAGATCAGCTATGGATCATCTGATGAAGTATTGAGAAGTAAAACCCTTTCCCCATTTTTCTACTGGACTGTCCCAAATGAAGGTCTTCAGACTTTAGGAATAACCAAATTAGTTTTGCACTTTGGTTGGACCTGGGTTGGCCTCATAGCATCTTGTAATGATCAAGGTGAAACCTTTGTCCTGAACTTGAAGAAGGAATTTGTCCAAAAGGGTGTGTGCATTGAATTTACAGAAATGCTTCCAAAAATGCTTGATAATACTATGCATGTAAAAAATAAAATAATTAAGTCATCCTCCAGTATCATTGTGGTGTATGGAGATACAGATTTCCTCATCTGGGTAAAGATAACTATTGAAAGTTCTGCAGTTTCAGGGAAGGTTTTAATCATCACATCCCAATGGGACTTCCTATCTAGTGTCTCTTATCTGCATATGGGATTTTCTTCCTTCAGTGGCACCTTGTCATTTGCTCTCCATAAACATGAAATTGTGGGATTTCGCCATTTTCTTCAGAACATAACCCTCAGCAAATACCCAGATGATGTCTTTCTGCCACATTTTTGGGGGGCTGCATTCAGCTGTTTCATTCCATCACTAGATTCAGGCAGCATGTTTTGGCAACTATGTACTGGAAATGAAAGGATTAAGGATTTGCCTAAGTACAAATTTGATTTGCAAACATTGGACTTGAGCTACAATATATACAAAGCTGTTTATGCTATCGCAAAATCTTTACATGAAATGTATTCATCCAGATACATCACAACAAAGCTGGAGAACAGATCAAGACCAAAGATGCATAAAATTAAACCATGGAAGGTAGTAAGAATATTTACTTTCTACTTATTTAAGGTTATGAGCAATTGCTGCTAGCTTCTGTTTCCACTAAAGAAAAGTATGTCTCAGGATGGATCTATGTTAACAAAGGAATATTATTATTCAAGGTTTCCATTTCCTGAGAAATTGAAAGATGAATGACAGCAATGATGGTCTCCAGCTTAAAGAAGGGGCAACCAAATTTTCAGTTTTCCAAAAACCCTCCTGTTCCCACCAATGAAACAATTCAGTTGCAGTTATTGCTACCACTTTCTACTACTTGCTTTAGTGTGTTCTTGTTAGTCAGATTACTATTGTTCTTCAAACTGTTTTTCCAGTGGCGGCAATCGTGGCTCTGCGTGGCCATGGGAAAACCAGGGGTTCTCACCTGCATGACCACCAGCAGCAATAACAGCTTTTACCAGTAGCAGGGACTTCTGGGACATCTCTCCAAACTTAAGATTGGCCAATAGTGAGTGTGGTTTGGGAGATGAACCTTAGGGAGCTAGTCTCCACTCAGATCCATTTCCGTTGCATAAATTCTTGCTGTGCTTTGAGTGGCCAGCACAGTCAACACACTCACTCTGTATCTTTTGGCCCTGCCCAAAGGCTAGTAGAGAGTGCTCCAGCACAGCCTTGCTGTGGAATTAATCAGTTGCTGTATTAAGGGCCAGGGAGGAATTTGCCTGCAGACAAATTAAGCCTGTCTGGAGTTTTTGCCTACCTCATAGCAACAGTCAAAACTTTTGGCAGAAAGGGCATTGGGTTGTGTCAGTGAAGCTCAGATGCGGACAGGAGAAGAAGAACCAGGCATAGAAAGAGAACAGTTAACAGCAGAAGACAGAGAAGAGGGGGAGAGCAGCTGTAATCTGAGCTCTGAACAAAGGGGAGACAAAAGACAGGGCCAAAGTGACAGGCGGCTGTGTGAGAGCTTCAATAGTGAGTTAGATGTTGGAATGCAGGAAGCATTCTCCCTCAAATCTCGTAGGATCTCAAAAGTGGCTGAGATGTGCGAAAGATACTGGAAAAGAAGGTGGGGGCTTTCATGCTGGGGAAGGGGGAGGAGCTCAGTCTGGGCAACTCCATCTTCTGGGGAGGATGGTGAGTAGAGGAGCTCCGTCCTATTTTGTTGTTTTAGCAATAAATCTGAAATAATTAACAGCCAGAGTCGTCTCGCATTTGTGGGAGAGGCCAAGCCATAACAGGTTGGATTCTTAGTCAAAACTGCAACAAAATGTTAAGGGTACTCTGGTAAAGGGGTCCATGAGAAAAGTTTTGATGATTAGCCCCCAGATTAGCCCCAGATGGGGGCTAATGGGACATAAAACATCCCAAATCATGGCCTGCAATATTACTCTGTCCATGTGTTTCAATTAACTGGAGAGATCATGCTCATGGTCCCACAACTGGGGGTGGCTCATTGAGTGATAACAAAAGACAGGGCCTTTCCAGCAGTGGCCCTCGGTCTCTGGAATTCCATCCTTGAGGAAATATGGCTAGCCTGTCATTGGTGGCATTTAGAAGCCAGTTAAAGTTTTATCCATTCACTTGGGTCTTTAAGACCCAGTAGTTGAAAATGCTTGAAAACTTTTTCCAAGTTTGTGTTTTTGGAGTCTTAATGGTGTTATGAATGCTTTGTGATGATGTTTTTAATTACATTGTTCCCAACTTGGAGGACTTGCAGTATACACATAAAAGCAAATCATGCATAAAAATAAAACTATTACCCTTACTTCCCATTACAAAAACACACACCAAAAGAACCACATTGTCTTCAAAAATGACTTTAAAATAACAATAGCTTGCATGCAGACTAAATTAGTTGTACTTACTTCCCACCGAAATCAATAGGAATTAACATTAGTCATGATTAAAATCTCACATTGATTTCATATTGACTCAAGTTTGGGTGTAATCCAATATTTGTCTTCCACATTTGAAATTAACCAAACAATTACTTTGGCTTGCCAGGTAACTTGGTTCAACAGCTGTGGATCCATTACCGTGAAAGCCCTGCTCTGAGCACAAGAAGAGTCCACGTCTAAAAATGAAAGTGCCCAGAGTCAGGCTTCTGCAGCATAGTTCATAACTTTATTACTCCATGCATGTATACAGAGGATGTCTGTACAGGTCTAATGTTTTCATTATTTGAGATATGAATGCAAAAAATGCTATTGCAGTATATTAAAAAATGTTGCTGGCATTTGAGCAAAAAATATTGACCATTGTGCATTTCCTTCTTTTAATTGATCATGCTATGCAGCTGCATCCTTTTCTGAAGGAAGTCAGATATCATATTACTTCAACAGATGATGTCTTTTTTGATGAGACGGGGGAATCAACATCTGGATATGACATTCTCAATTGGTTTACCCTACCAAACGATACATTAATTAACAGGAAAGTTGGTAGAGTCTACATGCGCCATCCATCAATTGAACCATTTTCCTTTATAAATTCAACAAGAATTGTTTGGCAAAAGAATTTCAAGAAAGTAAGAATTGCTATGGGGTTGTTGTTGTGGTTTGTTTTGTTTTGTTTTTTATTTTAATCACTGATAATTAATATAATATACTACTATGCACTAGCAATTTCTCCCCCTACCACACTAAGTAGTAATTTCATATATCTTTACATCTTTTAAATTGAATGCAATTGTAGATGAGAATCAGAAAATCTGTCTATTTCTGCTCCATCATACTTTTGCATTTCTTTAAAATATATTTGCTCAAAATATGTATTTAAATATGGAAAAAATATACACCTGCCCCATACTTTCTGTCTTGACTGACGTGAATCAGCAGGGCTTGGAGTCAGGAAGATGGGAGAAGGAGACACTGCATCTCCTTTTCTCCCTCTCAACTGCATGTTTAATTAGGTTTTCAAGCCTATTTAAGCATTAGGGCTCCCCCTGTTTCACTTGGGGGCTTGGTTCCAGGATAAATCAGGGCTGATAGGAAGCCCTGGATCAGCCCCAAAATCAGAATGGGAGTCCTGTGTGCAGCTTCAATAAATACACATTGCATTTGACCCATGGAAATGTCCACAAATATACAGATTCCCAGTAAAGTACAAAAGAATAAAAAATACATTTGAAGCCTTCATTTGAGCCATTTATTTTGTTTTCCCAGATATATAAAGTTTGCTTATATTCACAAAAAACATATGGTCTTTCAGTAATCTCTTTCACATGCTGACATGAACCATTGCTTTCCCCCATCATTTTTGTGAATCTCTATTCTATTTTTTTCCTATATAAAAAAAATATATTTTTATTAAAGATTTCTTGGTTTACAGAAGTATGTGCAATGTCTCTTTTTTCAAGTTACATTTTCTACAGATCAGTTTCATTTGTTGAGACATTAGTGTTACCTTAGGAAGAAAAGGGGGAAAGAGGTGGAGAGAGGCATGGTGAGTGGGGTGGGGTCGGGTAGCAATGTTTCTATTACATATGTGTGAGGTTTTGTGTCAGCATTGCTTGTGTGGGTTCTCTTTACTATTCCCTTGTGTTCCTTTGGTTGTGAGAGAGGTTGGGGTTGGCCTAAGGTCTGGTTGTTTGTTTGTGATTGGCTGTGGTGAACTTCGTTTTCATGTTGTTTTAGGTTCCACAATCTATCTGCACCAAGAGCTGCCTTGAAGGTCAGCATAAGATAGCCATTGAAGGGAATCCTGTCTGTTGCTTTGCTTGTTCTCCATGCCCAGAAGGAACGTTTTCTAACTACACAAGTAAGAGCTATGGAGAGATCATGTCTTGCAAAAACCTGGAATATAGTCAATGTCCTGTGAATTTCAGACCCACACATATAGCTCTGAAAAATCAGAAGGGACTTTGTTCTTTGCAAATGCTCTGTATGCAAATACTCTATTACATGTAAAGAAGGGTGTTTTTGTTTGTTTGTTTTTTACAATTCATTCATTTTATCAGAAGGCATCTTCATAACCTATTTGATTAGAAAGAAGTGGTCTCAGAATTTTATCTAGCCCAGCCTTCCCCAACCTCTTGCCCTCCAAATGTTCTAAACTATAGCACCCATCACTCCCAGCCAGGATGATCCAAAACATTGGGAGGGCATGAGGTTGGGGAAGGGTGATCTAGTTAGTGAGTATAGGCCTTAAGATAGTTGAAAGTGAGTTAGAGACATAGTTTCATGTCAGGCATAAAATCATGTATTTTGACTCACTGTTTCTGTTTTTGATGCAATGGAAAAGCCCAGCAAAACTGTTTACTTGATGTGACAGTGAAATGAGTGTGGTACAAACTGCATGGGAAAATTTTTAATACTACCTTCAATGTCTAGCGGAGAGGACACCTATGATGTTTCTACAGCCTGATTAAACAAACAAGTGCATATATTTTGCTGTATTAATCTCAGTGGAATCAATATACTGGTTTATCTTAAATTTAAGTCCTACAGAGTTTAGTTGGCTTGTGGTTCATTCTCTAATGCAGGGAGGGCCAACCAAAGACCAATACATGACCCAGCATACTTCTACTGCAGAAACATGGGGGTGGTTGGAACAAGAGCTCTGACCACTGAACCCCAGAGGGGACTTGTAGGTGCAGGAGAGATCAGAAGAAGCCCCATACTGCCAAACTCACACATGATGACATTTTTTTAAAAAAGGATGCTGGCACCAATGCCACTGCTACTACTAAGATAAGCAGATCCCCCTCATCTGAACAGATGAGCTTACTTTCCAACCTAAGGGAGATGGAGCTCAGTTTTTGGTTTGAATCCCAAATCTGGGCAAACAGTTTGTAACTACAGGAGGGAGACACATGCACCTTTAGATATATTATCAAACTATCAGGAGCTCACATTGCATGCCATGTCAGTTTCTGAGACTAAAATGGATTGTCTTTGCATCACTTCAGTTGGACGTCCTGGCTGCAAAGCATTCCCCCCTCAAATTTAATGTTTCTTCCTTTCATTCAGATGCAGATCGTTGTGAGAAATGCCCAGAAGATCAGTACCCAAATCCAGATAAAACAAACTGCATTC